AAGAGTATATAGTACACAGTGGCCAATATGTAACTGACACTTTTGACACACGGATTCAGTAGGTAGGTGGCGCCAAAGTAATTGCTTAAAGCACATGTATCTAATTCATCATGGAGTGCTACATGATCTCACAAGGTATTGTTAAAACAAGACGCATTTGTGGCCATACAAAATTAAGCTACCCCAGGAACTACACCCTAGTGATCATGAACGTTGCCGACAAAAAAGTCAGGCAATATTGCAGCTTAATACCCAAAATAACGACATGAGCGACTAAGTTCACTCCGATACGAAAGGACTTGTTATTAAGCAGAATTGCCAAATCTGGCAATTAGAGAATCCTCGTATCATCCAGCAACGACCCCTACATCCACTTCGAGTCACAGTTTGGTGCGGTGTTTGGCATGGAGGTGTCATTGGACCTCACTTGTTTGAAGACGCTGTAGGTAATTCTCTTACTTTCACTGGCGAGCGCTACCGTGATACGGTGCAAAACTTTCTGGCTTCTCAAATCCAACAATCTAACGTGCAAAACATATGGTTCCAGCAGAATAGAGCAACTTGTTAAACAGCTAGAGAAAATGAGTCTTGAAAGCATTATTTCCGGAACGTTTAATTTCTCAATTTGGTGATGACAACTGGCCACCAAGGTCACCGGACTTGACTGCTCCCGACTTTCTTTATGAGAATTTTTTAAAAATAGGGTTTATGCCACCAAACCAAATACTGTAGATCAGTTGACGAATAGTATTACGGAAGCGATTGGAAATATTCCTCCCGAAATCTACCAAAAAGTGATGAAAAATGTAATCAAGGGGGCTCAGGTTTGCGCGGCGACTAGAGGTGGACATTTGTCTGATATTATTTTTCATACATAAAGTTTAAATAAAAGATTGAGACGAAAAAAATAGAAGTATTTCATTCCATATCACAAATATTCAAGATACAGAGCAGTCAGCTACATATCGGCCACCCTGTATTAATAATTACCTGAGCTTTACGCGCTAGGCGTGCTTATATCAGCAATCAATGCCCATCATTCTGCGGTGTCTTTTCGATGCAAGCAATGAATTATAGAGAGAGATACCAAAATTACTAAAAACAGAGGCACATATATTCGGTTGATACAAGTTTTTATTTGAAACCTTAGCAGACTGCCTCGCGGCCAGAAATATTCGAAAAAAGTAAGTATTAAATTGCCTAAGAGACGTATACATGTTTCTGTCATCAATTGCTTTTAGTGACGAGTATCGCAATACGATGATGGCTGATCTGTCTGTTCTACGTTTTCTGGCAACCGCCGCCGGCGTGGGGTAAATTCTGAATTTTTATTTTTGACTCATATTTAATTTCTTCCTATCACCAGCAAATTTGACGTTGCTAATGCTGTCGACAGAGCTTTTCGAAGAGGTCATAGGACAGACTGCAGCTTCTACATCTGCAGAATATTCAAAATCTGTTAGCAGCGGTGGCCGCAGTAGTAGACTCCTCGGTCTCCTGATCAGTCGCCGTGCGCTGTGCGGGTTCGAGTCCCGTCCCAGGAGAAATTTTTCTCTTGGCTATGGATGTTGTGATTGTCCGTAGGTGGTAGACGGTTTCTGACTGTCGAACGCGGAGGTACCACCCGGCGGAACTCGTAGACGGAGCCAGAATGTGTGCATGTTGCATGCACTCGTGTTCCCTCGCCAGAGTCCGTGTGGCGTTCCCCCTTACCCCTGTATCCCCTTATAGCCCCACGGTACTCAATGGGTGTTTAGGCCTTAGGCCTTCAGCTTTGTTTTGTAGCTGCCTTGTAGCAGTTTTTCAGCCGATTTTTTTGGAAGCCATCCTTTTCCCTTGATAAAAAAGCCCTGATGTGAACAGGTATAACATCATTTTAATTTGTTATCTTATAGATATTAATGTATTAATGGCTGCTGACTGAAGTTCTTATAGTGTACTCGATTTTGTTTGGCATTTTTCGTATTCTGGTATAGGGCAGTATAGAGCTTACTACATTACGTTGATCATGGTTTTGATTTTTGAGCTGCCATAATTTTAATTTAAAACAAGGGATATCCTTTTGAGGGTAGCTGAATTTAGCACATTTTTATCTTTTCTGACATTCGCTTTACTTTCCTTGTGAAGGATGATGTATATGGATTTTTCTTCAAGTTTTCGGTGTTTTAAACGAGTAATTCTGTCCTAGACAGAGATTAGAGAGTAGTTTTTTAAACAGTCTTTCTCTCCCTAGAGCCGTAACTGGAACAAGACTATCATCCAGATAAGTTTAGGTTTAGACGTTAAAATATTTGTAAAGTCTAATAATTTTATTGTCTGGTAGTTTTGAGTAATATCCTTTCTCTTACATTACACTCCAGTGGTGGAGCATAGTGTGCTGCTTGTTTTGATAATATATTGTGCTTTTTCATATGTCCCGTTCTATTTGGCTCTCTGTATATAGATTCTTTTTTTGTGTGGTGGTCAAGCAAAACAAGTTCCGACTCACCCTTAGAGTTCATTCATAGTGATTTAATAATTCATCAATTAATTCACAAAAAAAAGAAAGAGGAATCACAACACCAATTCATCTTGTTTATAAAAAAAGGCGTCACAATCTAATTACTGTGTTTCTACTATTGGAGTACCTCAGCGGTCCAATTTGAGTCCTCTGTTATTTTCTTCATATGTTAGTGACTTATGTACTTCGCTACAATGCAATAGATTAATGTTTGCGGATTATCTAAAAACGTATGCGTCCATTGCATGCCTAGAAGGTTGTGTTGCCCTGAAATCTGGTGCCTTAGAAACCATCTGCATTGAAATATCTCCAAATGCGGAATTGTAACCTTCAGCCGTCGTACCACCATACAATTGATGGTACAGACCTTGAGAGTACTGACTCAGAGATCTAGGCAGTTGATTTGACAGCCAGTTAACACTCAGTTCGCACATTAATCAAATTGTTATGAAAGATTTTGGATCATATGGTTTCATCATAAGAAACTGCAAGTCAGATCAGAACTAAAATACTGTCCACTAATATGGAACCCAATTTACAATATTTATATAACATGCATCGAAAAGGTTGAAAAAAATTCGGTATTTATTACTCAAGCTTGATGGGTTATATCCAAGAGGCAGTGATTATGTAATGCTTGGAATATATTTAATTTTCAAACCTTAGAGATCCGTAGAAGCCAGGCATCTGGTTTGTCTTTGCACAAACTACTAAATGGCAAAATTTACTGTACCTACCTAGTACCGAGACTTAATGCTAGAAATCATTACACATTCTTATGTAGATGAGCTGCAGCCTTTCACGAATGAAAACTCAGTGTCGTGTCAACTTATAGTTTTCTAAAGTTTCAGGAAATTCAGAATTGTTTTTTAATACCCAATACTCGATAGATGCCACTTCCATTGCTTCGTTCCTTATGGGATTTTCAATGTTGCGTTTTTTATTGGCGACTGACCCAGTTTTCCGAAATTTAGCTACAAGTTCTAGAACATATTTTCGATGCATGCGACTGTTCTCATGTCGCTCATTAAATATTTCTGCTGTTCTATTAGCGCACTGATTATTTCCGAAAAATATTTGGATAATTTCAACACTTTCTGCTGTGGAATATACCAGGGTTAGTTTATGTAATAAACCGTTACAAGTTATTTTAGCAACAAAGTTTGGTCAAATCAATCGCAAACTATGTACTAAATTCCTATTTGAAATAAGTACGAGATATTTTCTTATCTTTCTTCAAGAAATAACTTATTGCCACAAAAAACGCTCCAATAGCTATTTTCAACAACAAAATGATAAACAAACCATGGGCGTAGTGAAGAAAAGCATTTAATTATTAAGTATATTCTCTTAGTCAAGTTTCTTCTGAAAGTAGTCAAACTAATCTGATGTACCTATTAAAACTACTGAACTGAAGCTCATGTATTTTACATCATTATAAAGGGAATTGAAAGACCTTTAAAATAAGGTATCACTCGACCCGCTCTTCCATTTAAAATTTTAGGGTTGGTGTCACCCCCGCCCAGGGGGCTGCATGTGTTAACGTGATTTTATGACAAACTTGTGTCCCTCTCGAAAACAAAATCGACGGGTAGAGCGATTTTAAAAAAACTGAGCTGCCAGTAAATGCCTCTGTTTCGTTTTCGATGCGCCACACTGTATAGTGTCGATTGTGATCATATAATTTCGTATGAGGCTTTTGTCAAAACGAGCCTCAGGGTAAGAGGGAACGGCGGTTCACCACAGGTGTAACTCCAGGACGTTTCGCTAAGGAAAATCAGTTCCTGAAACTCTAGAATCCTCTACAAAGTTACTTCTCCACGAAGCTTGTAACCGCTACTACTACGACTGGAGTAAAATTGTTCCTCTATATATTTCACTGAGCTTTCTTATTAGGCAGAAATGACCACGTGATGCCACATAGCGTGTAATTCCTAGTACATCATATGCATAATTCGTGAGAATGTTTACACTAGGATTAGCAATTAGTCCAACGATGCGAACTTTACCTACCCGTGTTATCCCTCCTAACGTTAGCTAATATCCTCTTATCTGATTAACGCCTAAGTCTATGGGGACTTACGGGCGACTTATTCCTATTACCGACGCAGTTAGCTCCCTCTATCTCGTGATAATAGTCTGAGCACCCCATCTCTAACGATCAAATCCTCCAAATAATGCACAAAATACATATAGTTTTTAATTAGCTAACCTACCTTGGAACTCTAAAACAGTATAATAGCCATTCAAATACGGATACCTTACTTGAAGTTAGATAATAATAATAATAATAATAATAACCGTCTTTATTATTGACATAAGACATTGACAAAATTGTAAGTGAACATAAGTACATCCAGTGTCAATAAAAGGCGAAGTTCAGTTTGATTAGTACACAGTACCAACAACCTGCTCTTCCACTCAGCCCAGTATCCTCTACGACATATGACATCCGATAAACCGATAATACATACATGTCACTATAAAAGAGGGACATACCTACACGCTAACAAAAAAAAAAAATCATTCATTCATTCATGCGGTGCTACTGTTTTTTCAGCAGTTCCTTTTTAAACATGGCTTTGAAGTTATCTTTCTAGAAAATTTTAGTTCCTTCCGGACTGAGTTGTAGACTTTATATACTAATTACGGCACTGCTATGATGATGATCTAATATGTAGAGTTGCTTAGGTTTGCACTTTTCAATTCCTTTGTTCTAGCGTAGGTTATAAGTAAGAGATGCATGTAAACCAAGGTGACCAGTACTCATTCGTCTTCTGTTAAATAAAGTCGCTTTTTTAAAAAGTCGTTCGTTGTTTGCACATTCTTAATTGGCGCTGCGAACAGGATATCGGCGTACCGAATCGATAATCGGCGGTATTGATTCACGAGTATCGCTCAATCGAGACCGAAAAAGTGCAAAAAATCGTCCGGTGTGTTCGGGTACGATTTCAATCGTTTTGACGTCGATCACAAAGAACTTCGAAGGCTACACCGAGCAGGCACATCACCATCGAAGTACCAGGCCGAAATACTTGCTAAGTATTTTGGGAGCAGGCAACGACACTTGAGAAAACGACAGGAACTGACAGGAGCGAGGTGCTGGATCCACGGCAGGCAAGCTGTCAACCAGGAGGAGCTGTATTGGCCCAAGGAGGTATCTCAGATCTCTCCAAATGAAGCTGCTAGTGCCCAGTGTAGCGTAAGAAACAACATTTACAATTTTTGCTGTACTCAGTGATTTTTCCATTTATTTCTCGAAACTTTTTCGCCCTCTATTGCTTTACATTTATATATACTCGTAAAAGTTATCTATAAGTAAACTTATTTAGTGACTTTAATTGCACATATTTAATGTCCGATTCTGAATTTGAATCTGTAGTCGAAAATACACCTGTTAGACAAGTTATTTTGACACCCTCACGTCTTAATTTTAATCAGTCAACCATGTCTCTTCAAGATTTACAAATTAAATTCAATGTAGCTAAATATATGGTACCAGAATATCATGGAGGTCACAGAGATCTAATTTATTTTTTGGATAATTCAGAAAAGTTTATTGCAGAATTTGTTAATACACCTTTTGTTTCGTATGCTTTCCAATACGTTATTTCTCAGCTGAAAAGCGAAGTAAGAGATTTAGTGCATCTAACTAGTCCGAGAACCTGGCCAGATTTAAAATCATTATTATTATCCAAATATAAAGATCCTAGAAATGAAGAAACTCTTCTCACCGCCTTATATACGTCAGTTCAGAAACCTAACCAAAAATATGAAGATTTTTATCAAGAAATTAAATTTAAGGTACAGAGCCTGAAAGAATTTGCAAATTTAGAATACCATGATAATCCCGATCATATCGCTTTTAAATTGAGAGACTATGATAGACAGTCTTTGAGCTCCTTTATCTCTGGTTTGAATGAACCATATAGGTCTTATGTAAGACAGCAAAATCCTACTACAATTGATTCTTGTGTTCAATATTGTCGTGATTATGATAATTTGCAAATGCAAGTTGATTACAAAAATTTCTTAAGAACGAGCCTATATAAACGACAACAGCCTCAGTCTCAGAATAAAGTACAAGCTTCAAATCAAAATTTCCAAAGGTCTAATTTTAATTTTTCTCAAAAGCCCAATCAGTTTAGAGCCCAAAATAGTCAAACTTGGCTAGAGCCACAACAAACCTTCCCTACAGGTCCCACGCAACTACCACCACCTAAACAAAATTTTAAACCTCATTACCCTACAAACATTCAAGCTTTCAGACCACCACAGAATGTTTTTTCCAAAAAACCCATTCCAGGTCAACAAAAAAGTAATCCTATACCTATGTCTGTATCTACAGCACGCACACCGAAACCCCAGCAAAACCCATATCGTCAACAAATGCCCACTAGAGTTAATGCCTTTCAAGTAGGTCCCAAACCAAACCATTATTATGTCGAAGAAATTACTCATCTTGAAAATGAGGAAGAACAAACTTTTGCAGGAACGCCACAATATGAATCTGAGGAATATACCCAAGATTTCGATTCAGACTATATCCCCGATGAATCTTATTTTGAAAACAATGACGAAGAAAATTTTCCTTCGACGAGCCAGTCTCAAAATTTGACTTAGATATAAATAATTATCAAAAAACCCACCTTCCGTATATTTTTTGTTCTCAGTTTAATCTTATCATCTTAATCGATACTGGTGCATCATCCTCCCTGATCAATCCAGAAATTGCTTTTAAATATTTTCCAGATAGTATTTATGATCATCCTTTTGAAATTAATTCATGTACGTCCAATTTTAGAGGTCAATATGCCTGTAAAATTCCCATATTTTCTGAATGGAAGAATAAAACTGAAATTGAATTTTTAATTCTTCCTTGGCATTCACGTTATGACTGCTTATTAGGATTCTATGATTTACAAAAGCTTAATTGCTCTATTGATTTGACTAAACATCAGATTATTACTGATAAATGTAAAATTACTTATAACACTTCTTTTAAGCCAATTCGAGAAAACAATCCAGTTCAGTATAGTTACCCGAAAAAATCATTAATTATCCGAAATTTGGATAATGGTTCTGTTGTTATTCCACCTTTGAAATTCAAAAATTCTGACGAATATTTTCCCGAATGTATCTGTAACGTAGAAAATAATGCTATTCAATATCCAATTGACATAAATCTTCTTGATGTTTCCAACCCATTTTTATCTGAACCTCTTGATGATTTTCTAATTGAAAAAGAATCTCCATTTTCTACTGAAAAATCCAATATACGTGTTGAAAATTTAATTCGTACGTCTCATATGAATAGTGAAGAAAAAGAAAACATTATTAAGCTCTGCAAGCAATTCAAACAGGTATTTTTCAAGCCTAACGAACCATTAACTCTCTGTAATGCCACTGCACACAAAATTAGGTTAAAAAATGAAGACCCAGTTTATGTAAAAAATTATCGATATCCTTATCATCTCAAAAAGGAAATCCAAAATCAAGTTTCCAAGTTATTGAATGATGGAATCATTCGACAAAGCAATTCACCCTATCAATCACCCTGCTGGATAGTTCCTAAGAAAATGGATGCATCCGGTGTTAAAAAATATAGGATGGTTATTGATTTCAGAAAACTGAATGAAATAACAATTGAAGATAAATTTCCACTCCCACTAATTGAAGAAATTTTGGAAAATTTAGGCAAAAGCATGTATTTTTCTACTATTGATTTGGCACAAGGGTTCCACCAGATCCCTATGGATCCTGAGTCTATAGAAAAAACGGCTTTTACTGTTGAAAATGGCCACTATGAATATGTCCGTATGCCATTTGGGTTAAAAAATGCCCCTGCTACCTTTCAACGTATGATGAATACTGTATTGTTAGAATATATCAACGTTTTTTGTTTTGTCTATATGGATGATATCATTGTTTTTTCAAAATCCCTAGACGAACACATTTTGCATCTTCGAAAAATATTCCAAAAACTGAATCAGTTTAATTTAAAAATCCAACTGGACAAATCTGAGTTCCTGAGAAAAGATGTTCCATTCTTAGGTCATGTCATCACGCCACAAGGCATACTTCCAAACCCAGATAAAATCAAAGTAATTCAAGAATATCCTCTCCCGACTACGATTAAAGAAATCCAGTCATTTTTAGGCCTTATGAACTATTATCGTAAATTTATTAAAGGATTTGCACAATTGACTAAGCCATTCACAAAATGTTTACGTAAAGATGAAAAAATCAATATCAATAATCCAGATTATATCAATGCATTTAAACTTTGTAAAGAAGCTCTTTGTAACCCACCTATTCTGGCTTATCCTGATTTTTCCAAAAAATTTACATTGACAACTGATTGTAGCAATATAGCCCTATCAGGAGTTCTTAGTCAAAATGATAAGCCTATTGCTTTCCACTCTCGAACATTAAATTCTGCTGAACGCAATTACAGCGTTATTGAAAAAGAACTATTGGCAATAGTTGATTCTTGTAAAAAATTCCGTCCTTATTTATTTGGTCAAAATTTTCTAATCGAATGTGATCACAAGCCCCTAGTTTGGTTGAGTTCTTTATCAGTGCCCAATCAGCGATTGATTAGATGGAAGCTTCAGTTAGAAGAATATAATTTTTCAATTAAATATAAAAAAGGCAAAGACAATGTTGTAGCCGATGCGCTCAGTAGAATTGAAATTAACGCTTTAGAGGATGACGATCTTTTATCCATTTTACCACAAGTAGATTCTGTAGAAGAGTTAACAACCCAAGAACTTGATGAAATCTTGAATGAAGATAATTTACCTTTAATTGATTTATTAGATGAAATGCCGTTAGATGAACGACTCAAAATTGTTGAGCAATCTGATGTTACTCGACATTCATCTGCACAAAATCCTATCAATCATATATTGTATCAAGAAAAGAATTTTTATTTTTTCAAAAATCGAATACATTTTCAGTTAAAAAATCAGTACAAAATAACAAAGTCTTGCAATGGAACTTTAATGGTAACAGTCCGAAGTGGATCTGAAACAGAGCAACTTTTGAAATTCATGAAGGAATATCTTCAGCCCGATCATACTTATGGTATTTGGTATGAAAATCAACTTTTAGAATTTAAACTTAACGAACTTTTAGAACAGTATTTTTCGAACAGCGGTATAAGATTTGTTAAAGCTTCTTATAAGCCTATATACCTACTAAAAGACTCATTTACAGAACAATTGTCTTTCTATCATAGCCAAACGCATAATGGTATCAATGAAACTTACAGCCATTTCAAGAAAAAAGCATTCACCCCAAATATGAAAAAAATAATATCAAATTACATTAATCAGTGCAATACTTGTTTGACATCAAAATACGAAAGACGACCAATCGAACTCCCTATGGAAGGACCTCTAATAGCCAAAAGACCATTTGAACATATATTTCTAGATATTTTTCAAGTCGAACAACAAATATTTTTAACATTTGTTGATTTATTTAGTAAATATGCCCAGGCCTACAATTTAAAATCAAAATTATCTAACGAAATATTAAACAAAATCAGACACTTCTTTTCCCATCACAATTATCCTGACAAAATAACTTTTGATCCTGGTGAACTTAACACAAAAGTTATAAAAGAATTCTGTAATATGCACAAAATTGAATGTCATGTTACTAGTGTAGGTAACCCCTCATCATTATCACCTCTTGAAAGATTTCATAGTACCCTGAAAGAAAAACTCAAAATTTTACGTCAGCAAAATAAAATCGATTCGATTATTGATCTAATGACGACAGCTATCTTAATTTATAACCAAAGTGTCCATTCTACGACCACATATACCCCATTTTCATTATTATACGGTCCTTACGACGATTTGAATAAGCATTTGATCGATACCCCCACAAAATTATATGATGAATATAACGAGAAACGGTACAGAGAATTACTACCTTTTTATGAAGAACTATCGAACCGTGTACTAGATAAGGCAACGGAAAGACTAGAAAAAATTAATCAAAATCGAAATAAGGAAATTCCAACCTTAGAAGGTCCAGTATATCTTAAATCTGCATTAGATCGTTCACATAAAACAAAACCCCTGTATTCTAAAGAGACCTCTTACGAACAAGAAAATGTCCATATTAATTTGCGCACTAAAGGAAAAAAGCATAGACTGAATAGAGTGAAACCGCAACGCAAAATTTCTAACTTTCAGGATCCTAATCCAGGCCCTTCAACTAGCCGGCCTAGAGATCCAGCTGATCGAGAATAAAGCACCATATTTTAAGCAAGAGCTAGGTAACGCCTATCTACTAAAAGCGTACCATAAGACATTTTTTCATATAAATCTCACTCTCATTAATGAAAATATCAAGCAAATAACGTCAAATGTCTATTTTGCAAAGCAAAGAATAGATGATACGTTGATAACACAACTTGAACATGAATACAATTTGCTTTTAGACAAATATGAAATGTTAAAATTTAAACGAGTTAAGCGTGGATTATTTAATGGTCTTGGTTCCGTCATAAAATATATTTCAGGCAATTTAGATCAATCTGATCTAGACGAAATAATGGAAAATATGAAAATTCTGAAGGAAAATCAAGATAATTTATCATTACAAAATTCCCGAACCGTCTCTGTAGCAAAACAATTACAAGACAGGTTTGAAAATAACACTTTAATTATAAAGAAAAATTTGAGAGATAATTTGGATAACCTCAACAAATTGCATAGCGAATACGCTAATTCTCAGTATGTCTTGAATGAGATAATAATTATTCACAGATTTTCTAATTATTTATCACGCTTACTGTTAACCATTAACCTGAGCACAAATCAGGGCATAAATCTCTTACAGCTGAGTAAGACTGAAATTAATTATATCCATTCGTTATTAAGTGATCTATTTGACAAAAATGAACTTCTCCCACTTGATAAACTGCACAATTTTGAATTTTTCGAATTATGTGAATTAAGTATTATAGTCCTCGAAGAAGAAATCATATTTGTTCTTCACATACCAACAGTTACTGGTAACTTTATATATTCCAATATATACCCCATTATACACCAAAATAATATTCTGGTATTGAAACATAAAAATATTATCGAAAATGAAACTATACATTTTTGTGATGAATGCAAATTATTGAGTAATAAATATTTTTACTGTACTATACTAATCCATTCCAGTTGTAACTTACTTAAAGTTGAAAATTGTACATTCTTGGCAAAAGGTTCATTTTCAGAAGTAATTCAATTAAACATGATAACTATTTAGTGAATACTAACAAGAATATTCCAGTATATGAAGATTGTACCAAAGAAAGAAAAGAAATTGATTCCTCTTTTATTATCAGCTTAAACTGTAAAACATTTATTGATCATACTGAGTATTTGAAGATTTCTGATATTTCGAAACCTTTATACATACCTAACATTATGGTGAACTATGATAAGAATATGTTATTTGAAAATACTGATGTAAAGGGTTATTCGGACATACAATTGAATAATGTTTTATTACACGATAAATTAAAAAATTTAGATTTTTCACACAAAACGTCCACGTTTAGCATTGTAACTATTTTATGTATTTTAACATTTATTGTAATTATACTTTGTTTAAAAAAACAATTGCTCTCTCTTTTGAAGCAAAAAGAACCAAAAAATCAATCAGTCAAAAATGACATTGAACTTAACCAGATTTTTCCTTTGAACCAGGAGGTTCAATCTTCTTGAAGAGGGAGGAATTACGGCACTGCTATGATGATGATCTAATATGTAGAGTTGCTTAGGTTTGCACTTTTCAATTCCTTTGTTCTAGCGTAGGTTATAAGTAAGAGATGCATGTAAACCAAGGTGACCAGTACTCATTCGTCTTCTGTTAAATAAAGTCGCTTTTTTAAAAAGTCGTTCGTTGTTTGCACATTCTTAATTTACTTGGTATGTGAAGCTCCGTTTGAAGATTGACGTTCTAAACTTGGGTGGCGAAATAAGACCCTTACTTCTTACGTTAATGTTATGAACGTCAGTCCGGTAGGTTATTTTTTGATAAAGATATTGTGGTGTTCTGACTAAAATTAATTTATGATAAAAAACAGCAGAGTGGAGGAGCCTACGATTTTCCATATTTAACCAACCTGCATCTTTCAATTTGTGAGATATTCTATGTCTCCTCTGTATACCAAATGCAAGGCGCAAGCATGAGTTTTGAACCAGTTGAACTTTACGTCGATACAGGTTAGTTAAGTGTGGGCCGTAAAGCACATCAGCGTAGTTGAATAAAGATAATACTAAAGTATCACATAGCATGATCTTAAGTTTTAACGAGAGAAATTTCCGGCTACCGTAAATAAATTTCAACGACAAATATGCTCTCTGCATAATTTTGTTGATGTGATACTCAAATCGAAGATTACTATCAATCACAACACCTAATTTTTTTACATTGTCCATTATTTTGAGAGTTACACCATTTATCTCAATTTTAATAAGCGTCTCTATAACATTTTTATTTTGTCTAGGTCCAAAAACAATTACGTGAGACTTTGATGGATTTATTAAAAGACAGTGGCGTGTGGCACATTCTACAAAGGAGTTTAGCTCATTATTAATGATCAACGAGAAACGATCCATCAATTGTGGGGGGAAGCTGCAATAGATTTGGGTGTCATCAGCGTAAAAATGCACATTACATAGACTAAGGAAGTGCATGAAATTAGATGTATAAATTAGAAATAGGAGTGGTCCAAGTATGGACCCTTGGGGTACGCCGGATTTCAAATTTAAAGATAAAGACTGAACTCCATTTAAAACAACTGATTGTTTCCGCTTAGTGAAGTAGCACTGAAATAAATCTATAGCGTTTGGAGAAAGACCAATATGATGTAAAATAGCAAGCATTAATTGATGGTTTAAAGTGTCAAACGCTCTGCTGAAATCCAGCAGAACAAGAACAGTACACTCGCCACGATCTGTAGCTCTAATTATGTCGTCTGTTACATGAAGTAAAGACGCCGTACAGCTATGATTTTTCCTAAATCCAGACTGTACAATTGGCAGTAATGAAAATTGTGACAAATGATAAGAAAGTTGCTCCTCCATTGTACGCTCAAGTAATTTAGAGAAAAATGGTAAAACACTAATCCCTCTGAGATCTTTAAGATCTGAAGGATTAGGTTTTTTTGGCACAACACAGACATTTGCTTACTTCCACAGATCAGGGAACTGATTATGCGTAAAACAGAAATTAATTATATGAGTTAAATAAGGAATAATATGGGGGCAACATAGTTTAATAAAATTTAAATTAAAACCATCGCAACCACGAGCATTAGTTTTAATACGGCAAATTGCTTCATAAACAAATAAATCATTAACTTCTTTGAATTCAAAATTTGAAGAATTCCTCCTAGTATTTCTGTAGAAATTTATTAAGTTAGGAGAAGGCTGTATATTAGGTATACTGTTAACAAAAAAATTATTAAGTTCATTGACATCATTAAAGGAATTTGGAATGGTGTTATCCTTTTGAGAGACTATTCCATTGTTCCTTAACCTTTTCCACATTTCTGTTGAACTGCAACTTTCTAATATGTATGTATAATAAGATTTTTTTTCTCTGATGATAGCAGCATTAACTAAATTACGCAAGTCCTGATAATATCGCAAATGAGCATTCAGTCCTGTTCTTCTAAATCTAAGCAGCGCCCTGTCCCTGAGATTCTGCATTCGCTTCACCACATCTGTAAGCCATGGGGCTCTAGGTTTAGTAAGTCTCATTGATACCAAAGGAAAATGCCTATCAAAAAGGTTTGTAAGCAGGTTTGTAAGAAACGCAACTTTAGAGTCGGCGCTATCTTGGTCAAATAGCATGAAAAACGGGGTTGCAAATAGATCCCTGCAAAAACTGTCTTCATTAAAGTTTTTATATGAGCGAATAGTAATGATTTTAGGTTTATTTCTTACTTCACTAACATTTACCTTACCAAAAATTATAAAATGATCCAACATACCACCACTATCCATGACCTGTATCAAATACAACCTCATCGCCAGAAATGATAAGATCCAATAAACTTGCACATGCACCAGAGATTCTAGTTGGACAGTCTATCATTTGCTTAATCGAGAAAGAGTCTAGAACAGAATAAAATCTTACCACATGTGCTTGATCGACGTTTATCAGGTTAATATTAAAATCTCCAGTGCATATGACTTCATCAACTGTTGGATAAATCGTACTCAAAACACATTCAAATTCATCTAGAAAACTATTAACATACATATTCGGAGGCCTGTATATTAAACCAAAACCGTACGATTTTTCGTTGATTACAATTTTTAACCAAAGCTGTTCACTAAATAAATCACTTGTATCTATTAAGTCGAAAGTGTAACATTCCTTAACATAAGCTAACAGACCACCTCCTTTTATACCCCGATCTTTCCTTAAAATACTAAAACCACTGCAATTAATAGATGCGTCATCAATACTATTTCTCAACCATGTTTCACAAACCAAAAATATATCAAATTTTGCATTGCCAAGAATAATTTTCAATTCATTCAGAGATGGTACGATAGATCTAATATTTAAACATCCGATTTTTATGTATTTCATGTAATAGGCAAAAAACAGTAATACCGCAAAAAACTAAGAGTAACTAAAATAACTCAATCCTTGTGTATGAGCTAGCTGAAGCTAAAATACTAAATAACCTTACTAGTAGTATAATATTCCCTGCAAAAATAACTATCCTAAAAAATCAAACAAAAACCGGTACAATGAACATAGTATGGGAGCGACTCATTTGCACTACATACTGCTAATTAAATCCCTATAACTACAAATTGAGTAAGTCGGCGACTTTGTTAATTTTTACAGATTTCATTTCACCGTCGTACTTACAGAAAATTGTGCCATTGTTAGTCCACACTTTTCCACGTTTTCTCACCTTGTTAATGACGTCTTTCATAAGCTGAAGATGAAGCCAGTTTAACTAGGATAGGCCTTGACTTGCTTCTATCAGGTTTACCTAGTCTAAAACATCTTTCCACAGAAGATGGATTAATTTCTACGTCCAGTTTATCCTTCACCAATTGTAATATCTCTTCCATGCAATTTTCCTGCTTTTTTTCCTGAACACCGTAAAATCTCAATGTATTTCTTTTAGTGTATTGGTTCAGCTTATCCTGTTCAGAGAGTATTGTGTCAATTTGTTCATCATGAGCCTGCAGTTTTGACGTTGTTTCCTTGTGCTGTTCCTTTAGAACATCTATGTCATTTTTCAGTTCCTGCCCAATAGCTTTTGTAATTGAAGAAGTTAACTGTCGTATGAATTCTTCAGACGTGCACAGTTTAGTAACTGACTCCTTAACTATCATGTGCAATTCATCCTCACTTTTCTTACCAGCCTGCCTTGTTATAGACATGATGAACGGGTTATATGCAATTAAATGCTGGTCAGGAACAAGTAGAACCTGGATAAACTTGAGCACTTACGACTAGAAACTATCACTGATCGGACACCAAAAACGGTGAATTTTCACGCACAATTTGCCATATAATTTTTCTTTAGCAGCACGGTACAAACACGTCTACTCCATTATAATGCTCACCCGAGAATGACGAGATGACGTATATTAGAATGGAAAATTCTGCTTATTTGTAGTTTGTAGTTGCCCTTAACTCTTCTCTTCCATCATGCAACCGAATACTACAATTTGTCACTCAGAATTCCTGCTTGTAGAGTGTTGTCATCAGCAAGGATCGCCATGTAATAGATTCATCTATTACGAGCTTTTGTGTCCTGATCTAAGGATGATTAACGTTGTTTTGTCTAAAAATGTACACTGATAGGTACTGCAAGGTACCTCTGTCGTTCCTCTGCCTAACGCAGTACTTCCGGTGAATTGTATTACTTGCAACAGGTTTCTAATAACAATCTATTATACAGTATGATCTTAATACTAAACTGCGGACCAGATTGATCGTACAGGAGACGTCATTAATATGTAAGGGGAATGATGTGGCATGAAGAGGAGAACCCGTCAATTACGAGGGACCCATATGCAGAGCTTCCTGGGAGGTCATAGGATGGAAGTTTGCATGAGAAGGCAGCATGCCACAGTTGGTCGAATGTTGCATGAGTCTGGATGAGTTTACTCGACAGCCCTAACAAGCCTATAAAAGTAATAGTATCAGCACTTGAACCTATGAACGTAGTGTCCTACTTACTCTGTCTAGCTATGATTCCTTCTTTTTAAAAAACTTCATCGGCGTAAATGTACCGATTGGTCTCGCCAGTTCTATCTACATCGCTACACCACTATGACTTAAATCATGCATTTACGTACTGTATTTTTAACCCCGATGCGGAAACGAGGAGTCTTATAAGTATAACACAATCACTGCCAGCAACGCCTTAGAGGCGTTCATGCGTACGTCGTAAAAATACCCGAGAGGCGTTCTCGTCTAATGCTAATTCAAAGGAGATAAATAAGCAGGGTCAGTTTGAATAGGTTCGCTACTACGGTCGGATGTTTTGTTTACTTTATTTATACTACGCGACGGGTTTGGTTTTTGAAACTGTTAATTCTGTTTTTTATTTGGACCAGTTTTTTGGGAAAGGTAAGTTTTTAATATTTTTCTATTCTTTAATATTTTGTTAGGGCAAATCATAAAAAAATACCGACATTATGATTATTCTAGAAATTTTTTGTTCGATATGTGAATATGTAAACACGAAAATTTAATAATGACCGCCCGAGAGGCGAATTTATGATAGTTTTAATGCATTTTCTTACAGATTATAATGGCAGACGAGCCTGGACCGTCAAAGAGGGTAAAGTACATAAGGAATGAAAAGAGACTAACTGATGAAGAGTTATCTCTTTTATAAAAGTCGTAGAGTGAAAATGATCAATTGGAAAATAGCTCCGACGAAGACCCTGATTACTCAACAGAAAATGATGTTAGTGAATTTATTTACTCATTTATTTCCAACAGGTGAAACCCAATTACAGGAAATGCTGAAAAAAATAACAATTAAAGAGACATGGTTCTTGGACTTAAATCTATAGTATCACACATTCTAAACAAGATTGGATGATCTATAGCAGTTAATAATCGATGCACAACTGTCACTGTAAATATGACACGATTCAGCAACACTGTCCATGACGCAGCACATGAGGTTAATTGGCGATTTTGTCACAACATTTGTACGGCCAGCGTGACAATAGAATGCCATTTGTTGTCGACTCCCTAGCCTTGGAACGCGGAAACATATTTTTTCAAGTAAATTTTGACAGTCAATTTTATTGTAAATGAGGCCACACAAAAACGACAAAGCAAATATGTTTCGTCTTGTTGACACTGAATCCAAATTGAAAAACTCTAATAGGGCACTATGTTCACAACCTCTTTCTGGATAAGAACCTGTGCATTTAAGGTGAAAATATTTTAAAGCTTTACGTTGAATGGCCTCAAGTATCACGAGAGAATTTTGGTATATAGGAGACCAGATCAGAGTCGCATACTCCAACTTGCTCCTGACAAGAGTAAGAAATAAAGTCAATAATGTATGAACATTGGAGAAACCCTTACAGTTTCTGATACAGAAATCAAGTAGTCGAGTGGCAGCCGACGAGATATTGAGTATATGCTCAGTAAACGTTAGCTTGGTATCAAAAGTGACTCCAAGGTCTCTATAAGAGGTGCATCTGTCTATAATCTGACCATTGATGTTATAATTATCATCAATTAAATAGTTAACCATTCTTGTATAAGTCATAACTTTACATTTCGAAACATTCAGACTGAGACAGTTTCGTGAAGACCATGACGGAATTAGAGCTAAGTCATCTTGCAATATAACGCAATCCTCGACTGTCTTGACTGACGTGCAGATTTTAAGGTCATCAGCGAAAAACAAATGGAAACACTTCAGTTCAAGAGACAAGTCATTAATAAATACCAAAAACAGTAATGGACCTAGATTTGACCCTTGAGGTACCGTAGATCTGCCTCTCATAAACCCATGCTGATTAATAGAGACTGCACCCCTGACCGAGCAGCAAACCGTTTCATAAGCGATGATCTCAAACAACTTGCTGAAATTGCACAGGATTGCTATTTGGCGATAGTTGGAAATATCAGAGATATCTCCACTTTTGTGCATAGGACATATTTTAGAGGCCTTCCAGATATTTGGATATGTCTCTGATTTTAGAATTAGGTTGAATATGAAAGCCAGCGGTTTCGCTAGTATATGAATGAAATCTTTAACGAAAAAACTTGGAATACCATCACATCCAGACGTCATTTTGTTCTTTAATCTTTTCGAAGCCGTAATTACGTTTTCTTCACTTATATTTTTTAAAGAAATGATATCGGTAGAATTATTTGTTGGAGGAGATGACCCTAGTAGACCAGACGGGATAAAAACTGTTGAAAAGAAGGTAGCAAAACTGTCCACTATATCCTGAGGCGTATCGCAGACATTGCCGTTAAGCGTCATCCTTGGGGGGATTCTAGATTGCTGTTTTTTGATCTGGGAAAATGACCAGAATTTGCTAGGATCATTGACAATGGCATCCTCAACCGATTGGACGTAAGCGGAGTAGGCAACACTGATCTGGTTCTTAGTGAGCTTCCTAAAATTACTGAACTGATCATAAGAAAACTTACTACCGTTACGTTTCCAGTTCCTTCTTGCTATGTCCTTCTTCGTGATATTAAGTATAATTTCACGTGTAAACCATGGGGGATACGAAAACATTTTATTTTTACATTTAGCGACATGGACCTCAAAGATGTTATTGATAACTGAATACAAGGCGGTACAAGCGACATCAACATTAACTGCACTGATCACCTCCGTCCAATTAACATCTTGCAAGGCTGTGTACATTTCAGGAAAGTTAGCTTTGCGAGAGTTAAACCGTGGAGAATCCGAAGATGAAGATCGTCCTTCTTTTCCAAAAGTCCTTCCCCCTCCTCCTATCCCTATGAATTCTCCTCTACCATCATTACCAAACGTGGATCAAGGAAAATCCATTTGGAGGTTCCTAGTCAAAATTTTCCTTTTACAAAGACACCAGGTTTACTTGTAAATGTTAATTCGAATGAGCCAATAGGCTATTTCAACATTATGGCATTATAGAGTCAAACGGAAAATGCGCGCTCTTTGCTGGGAACAAATAAAACCAAGAAAGGATTCAATTTATTATTGTCCTTTGTGTCCGAACGAACCTGGGCTTTGCTTGACTCCTTGTTTTCGAATATTTCATTCTACAAATATATTTTGTTCGTGTTTGTCTCTATTTGACTATTTGTCTTTATTTATATAAAAAGACAAACTATTTTCGTTTATTTTATATGATGGAGTGATTTTGTATTAATTTGTATTTTGTTTTTGAGTTTTAATATTTTTCAATACGGAATTTATTATGTTGCGTTTGAATAAAGTTTTAGTCCCAGTTTTCTTGTTGCAACAGTTAAGGGAATCATTTACAGGATAATCCTAGGAATGGATAAATCAAACAAACAAAAATGGAAAACATACAAATAGCAGGTGATTCTATATAAAGAAAAAAACAGATAAGAAATATATTTCAGTCAACTCAAAAACCTCTCATGATTAATTTAACCAATTTCTAGCTATTCTCAGAATGCTGTTCAAACTGAGCACATATATGGGTGCTTTAGGAAATAAATTTGTGCGAGCCCTGTCTCAATAAAAGGTTTTAACGGTACGAGTTTGAATAGATGGGACATTAAAGTTTAGACGCGTCACAATCTCATTAGCATCAATTCGATTGTGCAGCAGTTTATGCGAGAAGATAATTGTTCTACACTCCCTTCTCAGCCCTAAAGACTGGATTTAAAATCTAGACAGTTAAAAACCTTCAGATATACCCCGCTCAGGATATGTACCTACCGTCTTTGAAAGATAAAAATTTTAGAAACTCTCCCTGAACATGCTCAAGCGATTGTAAATTGGGTTCCAAATTAAAGTTGCATATTCCAATTTCGATCTAGTACAGTGGCCGCCAATCCGTCGATCGCGAGCTACCTGTAGCTCGCAAAGGCAACTCTGATAGCTCACAACATATTTCGAAAAGGTGTAAAAATCATAGAAGCTTCCGTAAAATTTGTATACTCTCATAATAAACAAAAGCAGCGGCAGCACTACGGCGAGCGATCTGTTCGAGAACGATCTCGATTACTTTGAACGGAATAAATACACAAGCCGCGGCGACAGTGTGCTCAGTTTAAATCTGAACGTCACAAAGTCCAGCGGTTGGGTTAATGATGGTCTGCAATTAAAAACATTATGAGCAGCAGTAAGAAGATGAAGACATACTATTTCCATTCGGAATGGGAAAAACAATATTTCTTTACAGAGGTTAAAGGTAAAAATGTATGTTTGAGCTTGCGACGATGAGTTTTAAAAAAAAAATACTTCAGACCGAGTTAACAAATTTTTATTAAGAAGAATTACAATGCAAGTGTGTGTGTGTGTGTAACATAAGAATGGAAAAAGCTGATGCAGCGTCTTCTTTCTTCGAACCTGGCGCGTATTCACACATTCTTGTACAAGTACCTAAACAATAAATATAAAATAAAATAAATAATATACTTGCAATAAAATTTCAGTTAGCTCTCGAATAAATTCACAAAGATGTTTTTTGGGGCGTTAGGCCAACTTCACTGAGATATGGCAACACAGATGATTCCGATATTTTATTATCGTATATCTATACAAGGAAGCACCGCCATTGTACCCAGTTCTGTTTTAAATATTCCGCATCTAATGCATTGTATATCGATGCACGTTGAAAATACATCAGACGCCGCAAACTCCTCTGCCGTCGTAAAACAAATGCTGCACGGCCAACTACAAAAGCCTTTCTCATTACATATACTGCAGCAATACCAGATGATTCTGTTTTCCGTGAAAGCTTTAGCTCCGGCCTAGCTCCAGCTCTCTGCTGGATGCCTATCATGCCGTTCCAGCTCTTCTTTTGACTTTTTTCGCTGAACGGAAACTAAGTTTTCTTTTGTGGCGAGAATAATTTCGAAATGTGTGCAGCGAGGTTGTTTTGATGCTTTTGAATCCTTTGTCTTGCTCGTAGACCTTGTAAGTAGTTTAGCCTGGAGCGTAACCCCAGGGAGAATACTCCTATATTCAAAACAGGGCATTTGTTTGGTTCTAAGTTGATTCCAGAAAATGCGAATTACAAATGTACAGCGTAACGCGAAGAAACGTCGCTATATTTTTTTGTACTGAAGTTGAAGTATTTTTATAACAATGCTAACGTGGCCGTTCGAATTGGTTACGAATGTCACCTGTGTAAGACACGGGGTCAAGCAGGTTGACTCAATAACTGTCACGAGTTCTCATACTTTTTCCATGAACATTTAGTTTCAAAATAAACACAACAAGTAAAATGTTCGGAACGTAATTTCTTCATGTTGAATTCTATCTTGTTTCGTTTATCAGCAGGTGCTACGTACACTCGTTGCTTTTAGTCAGCATTTATGAATTCTTGATTGTAGCAATGTTTTGACTTGTGCAGGGTAAATCAAAATAATATTTATTACCCCAAATTTTGAGTTATTTTGTGGTGTGACTCCAGTTGCTAATCAGACAGCAATGCTTTGCAATATCAAGAACCACATTTTCTCTTTATTCCTTTCTATTCACGTCGCCAGCTAAGAATGCGATGTACTCTATCTGGGAATCTATCCATCTTGCGGCAAAAAAGTGATTACTAAAACGGACAAGAGAAGAACCTGGAAAATATTCGTAGGTTTCTGAAATGACCGCCAGGGGGCGTAACTGCAATCTTGAATCTGCAGTCCAGCATGGTGGAGGCAGTTTTGCGCTCTGGAGGTCTTTGTTAGAATACAAGGAATGCTAAATACAGAAGGTTACAAAGTCATACTACAAAATCATGTTGTGCCTTCTGAGTCCCAGAAGAACAGAATATCTTGAAAATCATGCAATGGCCTTCCAAATCCCTGGATTTAAATCCGATAGAGGTGATGTGGAATGAAGTGGAATGAAGTGGACCGGCGAGTATGGAAATGTTGTCCAACATCTCCACTATCTATGAAGAATATTACAAGACAAATGGCGAAAAATAACCCCATCCACTTTTGAAAAATTAGTTTTTCTAATAACTTTCGTCCGTTTCCTTGTTTCCTGGGTGTTCAATACTTTTGAACGGTAGTGTAGTTTCACAACCTCCTACGAGCACAAGTGCATTGGACTAAATACTTAAATACTGTTGGGAGGTCAAGACCTACCTACAAGGTTTTTTTGTTCAGGTTATGGATACCTTCCTTGTCAGTATTAATACTTTGCTACCACCGCAACAAGAACAATGCACTTACGATATAGTATAGCTATACTCGCCCACGTTTTCAAAATAGTTATACGAGCACGGTGCGTCATTTCCTCTCTGTAACACCGCGTACAAGGTACATACGTGCGAGCGAGGATATTCAAATGATGAGAAGATGGGATGATATCAAATACTGCCACCATTCGGATTCGTGAAATCGTTATCAGCTTCGTGCACCTGTATACCGCACAGGTACGCGCATGGATTTATCTATTTAGCATCCAGAGGGAGTTCCAGAAAATTGCTGTGCTTCAAGCATTGCACCTCGTTGCCAGATTTCCGGTAGTAGTCCAAGAACCTAGCTAAGGGTAACTCAACGTCCTCTGAGTTAAGGTATGTCTGAAAAGTTTTGTCACAAAATGTATAGGCTTTAATTTTAACCTTGCCGCAGGCTCGCCCAATAGAGGATCTTTCGGCTTTACTGTCCAGAAAGGTTTATCATGGAGGCTGGGGAGCCCAAGGATGAGGAATAATTAGGGCGGCAAAACTGAAAGAAATATCTCAATTCCGTCCAGGACGTGATGAGAGACATTCGAAGAAAACTGCGTCACATCATTTGATAGTATAGTTTAGTTAGGTATTGAGTTGTAGTTTATGATAACAGGTCAGTATTTAAATAAATTTCTTCTATAAAAAAAATCCGATAAATATTTTGTGCTAAAACTTTTGGAACATATGTTACTATTGGTCGGTTTCAGTTTTGAGCTACATACCAGAGCACGCCGAATCAATACGGTTGGATGGATCAACACGTATGAAAAGGATCACGAAAGAGTGGCCGGCTTCAGGCAGACTGATCCGCCTAATAATCTAGGTGAACGGTTAATTTCAAAGACCATGAATCTTGCAACGCAGTCTGATGTAAAAGATCGGTCCACAACATTACATCTCACCGTTCCCTGTACTTTCCCACTTAAAATACCACTGTACTCATCAGTTAGACCAGAGTCTTTTGTAAGTATAAAAAGTGATGTCAAATAGATTACCTCTACAGTTTCCACGCCTTCAAAACAACTACTAGAGCTATTGACTACGAACCCCTTCCAACTTCAGTTGGCCCAACTATTGAAATCTTAGTTTTTTTCTGATCAAACACAAATAATAAACATGTAGCAGGGTGTTATATGTTTAAAATATTGACAATGAATATTTTGATAATATATAGTAGAAAACACCAACTTTATCACACCCTAATTAAATTTGCAGCATAAAAGTAACACATGATTACAGCATATCAACCTATTTTCATTTCAATGCAAGATAAGTCTATAACGCATTGGTGGCTGTGAAAAATAAAAGCCATGACAATTGTTTTTATTAATCACAGCTGTCAGAATACGTTTCAAATAGTTTTGGGTAGTTAAGGTTTTCAGAATGGGTAGAGGAAAGGTTATTATTGAGAAAATTCGGTTGCTGATAATTAAATTTTTTAATTCTGGGAAATCAAACTCAGAAATTGCAACTTTGTTAGACTTATCGCGGTACAGTGTGAGAAATATTAGATATAACGTAACTGGTTCAGTTAATATTAATCCACGATATGTGAAAGAAAGTAATATCACAAATGCCGACCGAAGAGCATTAAGAAGAATAATCTTGAAAAACAGGCGTGCCAATTATTTACAGTTAAGTGCTCTGTGGAGTGACGCTGTTGGAAGGAGAATTTCGAGGTCCACAACTCATAGAGAGGCTCACAAATTGGGATTTAGCACTTGCAAGGTAAGTTTTCTTATAAAAAAAAATGAAGTAAAGACCCTAAAGTTGCACAACCTGTTTATAGGCCAAAAAAGAGCCACTATTAGCTCCACTGAAAAATAAAAATCGGATTAGATGGACTAAAGAACATAGACAATGGACACCTCAACAATGGTGTGCAATACAATGGAGTGATGAGGCCCCATTCGAAGTTTGTGTTGGTGACAGTCGCAGTAGAGTTATTCGCAAAAAAAAATGAAGCATTCCATGTTGACTGTCTGAAGAGAAAAGTGTAATTGCCACCATCCATTATGGTCTGGGACAGCATGTCATCAAAAGGAGTAGGAAAACTTCATTTTATTGATGGAAATGTGGATACAAACAAATATTTGGCAATTTTAGAAGAATCGCTTTTACCAGTGATGGAAGAATGTTTGACATCCGGCCAAGGTTTTGTGTTTCAGCAAAACGGTGCAGCGTATCATACCTCAAAAAAGGTTATAAAATGGATGGAAGAATGTACCACTTTTGAAATGGGTTTCTAGCAGTCCAGATCTGTCACCTATTGAAACTTTGTGGCACGAGATGAAAAAGGTTCTACGACAACATCCTGCTCGTACAATCACCGAACTGACACAACAGCTTCAAGAAATATGGGATTGTTTTACACCAAATTTTTGCCAAAACTTGGTTAACACTATGCCCTAAAGAATTTCAGCCGTAATCAAAAATAAAGGTGATGTTACCCAATGGTAACCTTTCAATTGTTGATTTGTTAACTTCGCGCATTTATTCCTACATTGTTTATTTGTTCAGATGTTCTATTGGTTATAGGTCTACGTGATTTCAAATATGTATTTTTTACGACTAGAATGTATCTAAAACGTTTTTGAGAAAATAAATTGTTTTGGAAGTAAATAGTTTCATCATGTTTAGCTTATAAAGGCATATTTTGGTACAAATCTTGAAGTGGGCCAACTGAGTAGGGGAAGGGGCTCGTACATATTTTTTAAAATTTTCCAAATATGTATCGATATCTGGAGCAAAGATCTTTAGATCTTCTAAATATTTTACTATTGTATCACAATGTGCTAGGTACCTTTTTATGTTATCGGCATCCAAAATTGGTACATTATTCAGGAGTAAATACCAGACGTATCATCACTATACGTCAGGTATTTACTGAACGCTTGATCACAGCCGATATATCTCGAATGGATTTACGAGTATGTGTCCTGGCCTGCGCGGCTGCTTAGATGTAAAAAAAAATCATTGTACAACTACAAATCTCAGTTTCCTGCTTGTAAATGGTCGGTGATCTGAGAAATGCAATACAAAAGTTTCACCATACCGGTAAATAATTGCCTCACCGTAATGAATGAGAAATCAGTTTCATCAAGAGCAATTATAATAAATTAGAAATTAGTCGTATAAGTTACGCAATATTAGGTTGAGGTGGATCACTTGATAACCAAATTAATAAATCAGAAATTATCCAAAAACGATATTTAAAAATAATCTTCAACAAACCACTCTTATACCCATCTGATCTGTTGTATTCTGAAGCAAAACTATTAGACCCTAGGCAACAATTTTTTTATAAAATCATAAATCATCAATTTCACGATAGATATAACCTTATTCCGTTAGATCACTTATATCAAACTAGAAACAAAATCAACAACATTAAGCGAACACCTTTCACCTCAAAAAGTATAGGCCAAAGATGTCATACTTACCTTTCCGGTAGATTATATAACAAATTACCAAATTATATAAGAAATATTTCAAATAAAACAAAATTCAAAATTGAAACCAAAAAATGTATAATTGAAAAAAATCGACATCAAATTGCAAACATGAAACGTATGAAAGAAATTTAAAATTAATGCAATAGTAAAAACCCTCCAACGTTTACGTGTTTATTTGTAT